AGGAGGAGGTTGGAGGGCCTGGGTCTTCTTTCCAGCTTTCCTGAGCAGCCGGCGGCGTGCACACGGAGTGCTTCCTGGGGGATGTAAGTGACTGTGACAGCACAGGGCAACACACAGAGAGGCACGTGTTCATTATGTGTGGCTGGAGAAATTATCTGTCTCCAGGGGAACAGGCTTCAGTGTGCATTAGCGTCCAGCCGCTCCCTTCCCCCGATTCCTCTTCCTCTGCCCACTCTCCATCCCTGTCCTCCTCCATCTCGTCTCCTACACCCCTGCTCCTTCCCCACCACCATTCTCAGTCCAGCCCTGCCCGTCAGTGTCTCCATCCATCTTTCTGGCTCCCTTGCTGGAGTTTGCTGGGGCTGTCTGGGCATCGGTCTTCTGCTTGTCTCCCTTACTGTCTCTCATTTGTCTGATGTCCTCTCTAGCTGCCTTCCTCTGACTCCATCTGTGTTTCCCTTTGACAGCAGCTTTGTGGGCAGCCTGCAGCTAGCCACAACCTTTTCTGGTTGCGTTCAAGTCCATAGCAGCACTGGTTGGTGGATTGATTGGCTTTTATTTTAAATTCTGCAGAGGAGAGAAAAGAGAATTTTCATGAAGTGAGGGAGCAAAGAGAAGGTGAAACCGGGCAAAGGGAGAGAACAGGAAAGAGAGGGCAGCAGAAGGGGCTGAACGCATGGCATCTTCCTTCTTTCCACAGGAAGCAGGCCAGGCGTTTATGGTTGGTGGAAAGGACAGGGGACCAAGTTAGCTTGGCTGCCTAACTCAGGGGCAGAGCTTCCGGGAGAAATGAGGTGGGTTCAGTAAACCCAAGAAGCTGACGTGGGTAGAATTTTTCCTGTCTGACCCATTAACAACTGCCACGGGACCCCGTAGAAGAGGTTTTTATGAACATGTTTCGGTGGGCCACAGCCCCTGGACAGAGAGCTCTTGGCTCTGAAGCCGGACCTGGGGAGCCGGAGGGCTGAGGGGAGCGGGAGGGGTGCCCGTGCCAGGCAGGGGGCAGGAGCTGCTGATCAGGGCAGTCCTGATTGCAGTGTTGGCGCGCTCCTCTGGCCTGTGATAATTAAAGCGTTCTCAGTATGACTGGCTTCCTGAAGGGAAGCTAGAGTTTTAAAACCAAGCAAACTCCCAGAAAGAGAGAGGACACTTGGTTGCACTGACTGCCCGTATTTTTTACATCCTAAAGCACTTAATCCCCTTCTTGAGGTCAGGGTCACGGCCATTGGTCAGCTGCAAGCACCTCATCTTTGGCCACAGCTCTGGCAGGAGGGGCACTGCTTGGGACAAAAGGAACAGGAAATGAAAAGACCTGGATGTCTTCACCCGATGAGATCCTCCACTGACCTGACCCAGCCCCTCCTTTTCCATTCCCTCTCTTGCTCCTTTCCCCTGGCAGGCAGACTACGCAGAATCCCTGGACAAGAAGAAACCAGCTCTTTTACTTTACTTTCCCTCAAAAGATGGGATGACTTTGACAGTGCTCCCGTTTGCTGAGGGGGATGTCAAGAGACCCTGGCCTGCGGGCTTTGCCTAGAGGGTGACGATTCTGCTGCAGTCTGATTCGCTCTGTCTGGGGTCTTCTTCCTTCCCCCCTAGGCATCCTCACCAGCTTGGCACCTTCCTTCAAGAACACCCCGCCGTGCAATGGGACTCTCTTCGGCCCTCCCTTCCCCACTGTGGAGCTGCGTGAAGGCCCCCCTGCCTTCGCCTCACAGCAAGAGGAAGCACGGGGCCTCTAGGAGTGCTTGCTTCCTATTTAACCCGATTAGTCCCATCACTCGCCCCGAGGAGCCCGATTTGGGTGTTACTGAGCTGTCTGTGGAGGAAGGGAACATTGTCAGATGTCACTTCAAGAACCCTGTCTCTTGGACACTTGGGAGCTGCCGAGAGAAATTAATCTTCCAGCTATTTCAGGCAATTTCTTTCCCATCATCCTTTGTCAAGAGGACTGCACTGGGAAATGGATCTGATGGGAGTCCCTGAACTGGTACACTCCACTGGACAGCAGCTCTCCGACGCGAGGCAGCATCCATCATCCCCACAGCGGACAGTCACCTCGCTGCAAAGCCAACTCCCCCAGCAGCCGGAATTCAAGCACACACGTGGGAACCGCTGGGCGGAAAGGATTGGCCATTTCCCTCTGCCTCTGTTCCACTTTAGTTCTGGAAAACCTACCGTGGGCTTCCCTCTCAATACATGAGTCTGCTGTACAGAAGTCTCGGGAAGGCCAAGGAACAGGGGTCAGAAGGTCGGTCCAGTGCAGAGGAGGCGCTTACATTAGCATTTCGGTCTCGGTCAAAGCAGGGTTTTGAGATAGAAACAGGGCAAGGAGTAAGCGGGATCCTCCCTTCTCTTCATGGGTAGGAGGCCCAGGGGCATTGGAAGGCATTCCCATCCTGAATTCTCTATTCAGATTGACCAGGGGGGTGGTTTTCCAATTGTGCTCTTTGGCGCTCCAAAGACATCCGGGGAGGTGACGCTGTGTAGACAGGGAAGAGGGTGGATACTGTGCTGCAGGGAGTGACTACAGGGGGAGGCTCAGTGGTTAGAGCTCTGGACACCCCCACGCTACTTCAACTGCTGGTTGGACGTCATTGTGATTTTCCCTACTTTTCTCTTTATTAAAAGTTCCTTCCCCCTCCCCCTAAGAAAGAGCTACAAAGCAACGTCCGAAGTGGGAGGGCGAAGGCTGCGTTGGCGTCTCTTGCCTGGGTGGCCCTTGGCTGAGGGTTTGCCCACAGGATGCAGCCTGCCTCCGGCTGGCTCCACTGCAGAGCCGGGGCCCCGTCAGCAGCTCTGGCTCTGGGCTCCCGAGGCCTTTTCTGCAAAATGAATCTCCTTAGGCTGAAGAGTCATTTGTTTTCCAAACTCTCTTCTTCGTTCGCACTAATTCCCAATTTCCCGGCCTTTGACAAATGCAATTAACAAGGCTCGATCAGTTTCTGGCCGACAGCCTTCATCAATCAATACAGAGACTGCACAAAGGCTGAGCAGGAGAGGAAGGTACGTGCAGAGAAAGTGGCTGCCATCAGGGTGGCCAAGGCTTAAGTCCCTCTGGTTCTGTGAAGGCCCCTTCTCCCCGGCCCTCCTTACAAGACCCAGAGGGCTGGCACCCTCCCCCCCACGTTCCTCCTTCTTGCTAAGGAAACAGAGCAGGGCTGTTTATGCCCTCCTCTCCCATTTTACAGGCTCCTTCCCATCTATCGCCTCGATCCCCGGCTGCTAACAGAAAGCCTTGCCATCTGCTGCCACCATAGCCGGGGAACCCCTCAGCGCTGGATGCGATAAGCAACCATCTCTGCCCCACCCACACACTCCAGGGACTTAGCTTCCTGCCCAGGAGGGTAAGTGCCCGCTACCTCCCACTTGAGGACCAAGGGGACATGGGTCACGGAGCTTGGGGTTGCGATGACACTCAGCTCGTCTTCCTCTCCCTTCCCAACTGCTCCAAGATTCAGGCTGATCCCTTCACCTTCCTGCTCCGCCTGCAGCCACCCGCCCCCTCCCTCTGCCGCCCTGCCTGGTACAGCCCGTGCATCTTTCCACCTCATCAACTTGCCATCTCTGTCGGGCAGTCTCTGCCTCCTCCCGGCCTCCTTCTCCTTTGTTATTAGCTTCCTAAGTGGGGACCTTCATGTAGTCACCAGACAGTCCCTTCCCTCCCACTGTCCTGGCTTCTGTGGCTGTCAAGTACTTGGAGGAGGGGCCCTGTGGACAAAAGACACAACACAGGCTGAGGCTGAGTAGTGTAATGTAACAGCAAACAAAGTAAACCCAGAGCGTGCTCGGCAGCAGCTCATTAACAACTAGTAACATACAGAGGCCAATGCATAGGAGCTGAAAGAAAGATCACTACCTACGGGATGGGGTGCCACGCTTTATTACCAAGGACAGTCACCCCAAGATTTGCAAACAGCCAGCCCCACCGCCGCTCAGGGGGCAGTTCCACTGTACTTGTCGTGCAGATCAGCAACGTTGTCACTGGATACTCGGATCCAGCCATCCTCCCGGACATGGTACAGATTGACCACACCTCCTGAGTAGGCATCTCTGTAGGTGGCTTGGTAGATGGCTCGCCGAGCTAGATCGTAGGCTTGTTCCACTTCCAGGTCATAGGAGTAGCCCCTATCCATGACCCCGTAGGCATACACAGAGCCGGAACCTACAGAGAAGGTGGTCCCCGAGATGCGGTTCCCTTCACTGTCCACGTAGTAAAGGCCTGGAAAAGAGAAAGAAGGCGAGTGGGGAAACAGGACCACTCTCTCCTGCCATTGAATTCACCCTTTGAAGAGGACGCGTTCTCTCTGCTGCAAACCCTCTGGGACACCAACAGGAGCGCGGGAAAACAGAACTGCTGTTTTACTAAGTAACTGACCACCAGACAGGAAACAACTAAAGGAATCCAACTGAACACTAAGATTCTGGATCTTAAACCTCACCACCTCACCTCACAGGCTTGTCTTTCCTGTAGACCACAAAGCAAGGGTAATCTGAACGCCTACCTAAACACCGTGGGGAAAATGTTTAAGACACAGTCCTAGCCCTCCTAAGATTGAGATAACCGGGGCCAAGACATACAGCAGACAGTGAAAGAATAAAGCCTAGAATTCACAATCTTCCTACAAAGACCCGCACTGTTCACTACGGTCGCCACTGCAGAGGGAGTCCTAGCAGAGGGGGTTATGTGCTGGCCTGCTACCCGCAAGGTCCACTGTTCGAAACCACCAGTTGTTCTGCAGGAGGAAGACAAGGCTTTCTACTCCCATACAGAGTTATAGTCTTAGAAACCCAGAGGGGCGGCTCTACCCCGTCCTATAGGGTCCCTATGAATCGGAATCATTGGAATAGCACCGCACGAGTCACGTGTAGCTGTAACGCATTCGAGATGAATTTCACTATCACATACTGAAATATCACATTGGGCTAAATAAAATACGTTACAAAAATTAATGCACTCTTAAAGCGCAGTCACGAAAACCTCTTGGCCATAACCAAACCCCTCCCTGGTACTGAGACACTGGACGTGAGGGCTAGAGACCAGAGTGTCTGAGGCAACATCTAGGTCAACTGGTCTACCAGTCCACAAAGACAGTGTTCTACATTTGCTGAGTAGCACCTAAGGTCGTAAAAGCTGGTGAGCAGCTTACAACTCCTGGTCAAGGGAGTAATGTTTCCAAAGTACTTCTGGACAGAGCCTGCACTAACCACAAACCAGAAG